TGTCGTTATTGTCGATGGCATCATTCATTGGTGATTTCAATTTAATGATTATTTGAAAAAAAGAGAGAGAGAGAGAGAGAGAGGAAGGGAAAAAAACTGCAGAAGTAATGATAATAAGAGAGAAAAAGAAGTCTGAGAAAATTCAATTCTGTAAGATAGAAAGATTAAAAACTAAGAAAACGCTTTTTTTTTTTTTTAAAATAGTGTTTGAGCGGAACATGTAAAAGTAAGGCAACGTTCCTAAATTATCCTAATTTAATTCAATTAAAAAATGACAAATAATGAGATTTCATTAATTAATGAAAAGAATAAAAAAGCAAGGTATGAGAAATAAGTAATCAGCAAAAAATAAATAATTGATTACTAATATTATTAATAATAAACATATATATATATATATGTATAAGAAATAGAATAATAATAATGAATAGGACTGAAAATGACGATATTGCAAGGCTGCCGTGAGCTTTTATCCACCAAGCCAAGCAGTCAATTTTTGCATCGAAATATCGAAGTGCAATGGCAGAACGAAATGAATCAATTTCTAATTTGCACATTTTTTTCTCTCTTTTTTTTGAGTCAATACCACTTTTCAATAAGTATCATTTGCAATGCATGCATTGACCTTAGCGATGTCAATCAACAAATAAAATCACAATATACCATTGGACAAATTTTTTTTTGAAAAAAAAAAAGAAAAAAACAGTTTATCTCATCTCATACTTTTAAATAAAATTCAAAAAAAAATAAATTAAAAAAAAAAACTATTGCTAATTTAACACTCAGTATTATAAATGTTATATGTTCAACATGTAATTATTATGTTTATCTTTTTTTAAAAGAATTTTTCATGATAAATAATATCATTAAGTTATAATAAGAAATTTTCAATTAAATAAAATTTTCCAGAATTTCTAAGTTAAAAATTATCAGTTTGAGATTGAATTAACTCGCATTTTTTTGTAATATGAATTAATGATTTCTTTGTTTTATTGATAAATGCAAGATAAACAAGTGTGCAAGCGTGTAATATTTGTGACGTGAAAAGTGTTACATGAAAAAGATAACCTCTAATGTCACAAACTTCTTACGCATCTTACGTCAATAGCTTACATCAACAACCATTTTACATTAAAAATCTATTATTTTGACAGAAAAAAAAAAACACTCAGTCAGTGATATCACAGAAGGGTGGTACTATCATCATATAACGTTAATGAAGTAATTCTATACAGTCTAGTAAATTTTAAATTTTGTCTAAACCATTTTCCTTTGTTTAAAATGAATGATTTAATAAAAAGAAACAAATTTTTTTCTGAAAAAAGAAAAAAAAAAGATGAAGTGATTTGTGGCATTTTAATGATCAGCAAATATTGTTCAAAATTGAGATTTCAGAAAAATGCTCGTGTAGCATAAAAGATAGAAATTTGAAAGTTTCGGAAATTTAAATGGCTATATTCCTGAAAATTATTAATGAGTAAATGAAATTTGCTTCATATTGTAAAGAAATAACTAATAAAAGATTTAAAAAAAAATCTATCAAATGTGTTAATTTTTTTTTTGCAAAATTTCGTTGATAAAGATGAATTCTAATTTTTTTGATTTTTTATTAGAGTAAATGAATGCTTTAATAAAAAAAAAAATCAAACTAAAACATTTATTTCACTCATGTTCCTGTTCTCAATTTTTGTACGAAAATTGGTGTTTGACAAAAAAAAAAGAACGAAGAATTTTTACAGTAGGAACAAAAAGATATATCATTCAGAACAAGAAACAAATCAAACTGAAGAAAAAATTGGAAATTGGAAAAATATTAGTCGTTATTTTAATGTTGAAAGTGTTTCAGGTATTTCCAAATTTTGCTGGAAAATTTATATAAAATTGATAAGAAAAATTTATCAAATAGAATTTGTCAAACAGTTTGATAATTATGCGAATACAATCATGTATTTTAATACAATAGGCGAACTTTTATAATATCAATTTTATCCTTTTTTTTTTTGCAAAATTAATTTAAATTAGAATATTTCGAGTAATTTTGTGTAATTTAAAATGAATTCAAAGTAAAAGAAGAAATTTTCGATCTAACAAATATGCACATTTGATTGGTATTTATTGAATTTTGTTGCAACTGAACTGTTTTATGCACGATAATTTGACATATATTTTCGATGTCGTATTATCTCAAATATATCCGCTGAGCGTGAACAATGAATATTTAACATACAAATCAAATTTTAAATTTAAAACTATAAATTCACTTCTATCAGATATAAATATGCCTTAAAACATTTCGAAGCTAAACGATACAAACAAAGAGGAAGAAATGGAGAGTGAAAAAATTAACCTGATATTACATAAAAAGCCATGGATTTGAACATACAAATCGGTGGAGATAAGTGAAATGCAGTGAAGCTGAAAATTGATATAAGCAAAATAAAGTGTTGATTTTAAAGGCGACAATTTTTAAATTGTAGAAAAAAAAAATGTAGACATCATTAAATATTTCATATCGAAACGTATTAGTAATACTTAAAAAAAAAAGTAGGGCGCAAAAGGAAAGAAAAGTGTTTGGTGAAGAATTTTCATTGTTTAATAAATTATGAGAATAAAGATAGAAATGATGATAATGATGATTTCTGATTTAAATGAATTGTCTATGCGAAAATAGGAAAAGAAAAGAGAGCTTTGATATGATTTAACAAGTAGGCAAAAAAGAATTAATAAAGATGGAATTGAAAAAGAAAACGAAAAGCAAAAAGTTTATCTTCCCTAATCATCGTCATCATCATCATCGCCATTTCTTTTCGTTTTTTCACCTCACTTTTTTTTTTTTCATAAATTATAATTGGAAAATAATCAGCGCAAATGTTTAAAGCATTTTATCAGCACTTGCATGTAATAACAACGAACATATAATTCTGAGAAATGAAATATCGAAATTTCCTTTATTTCATTTTTAAATGTTTTTCTTTTTGCGAAAAATAAACAACATTTCAAGTGAGAGCAAAAAAAGGCATCGTTTCTCTGTTCTTTCGTTGTCTTGTAAATAGTTTATTTGAATTCAATATAACTAAAATAAACTATCATTTTATGATCGTCGAGAGAGTTTTTTTTTTTGCGAAATTTTGTTCGGTACATTAAACGATTTGATATCACTGTAAATAATATATGATCAATATATTATTGATGTTCGATTATTGCAGGCAAATGAGATAAATGATAAGATGGTACAGTCTAATAATAAATTTTTCACAAGGTATGCTTATCAGGTTAATAGCGTTAGCATTACAAAATTTTTTGGAAAAAATGGTGATACTTTGATAAAATATTAGAAAATATTCAATGTGTAAGTACTGGTTTTTAATATTTAAAATGTATCGATTGAAAAAAAAAATTAAAAAATGAATCATTTTAAGTTCATACCGGTGCTACTCTTTTAATTATGCAATTTAAACTAACCGAAATATCATCTAATATAGAAATTAATTATCCCAAATATGCTATCATATTACTATCACTGTATCATATTTACCTTAGTTTATTTTTTACATAGCTATCGAATATGATCAAAAAATGCTAGCTATTTTTATAATTTAGCTATCGGATTATTTTCATTGTCATAATCACAATTATCATAATGGAAAACATTTTTATTTTGAAATATGAATGAGTGTTGCATAAAACGAATTGTTTGAAATAAATGCAGTAAAATATTTGCAATAAAATGAATAAAATCATTTTATTCTTTTGCATTATTTACATTTTTTCCCTTATCCTTTTTTGCATATTTATATTAAAATGGTTCATTTCAAAACTTCAAGAAAAAAAATAGATTATTTTCTTTCTTTTTTCATTTTTAATGAAGCAGGGAGGAAAAAAAAAGTGAACAATCCGTAGCCATAATATAAATGGATGAAATTGGATGGCGCAAAATGACGCGGAAGAAAGAATATATATATATATATAGCGTGGCATTGATGTATCTCTTTGAAAGGATTGTTGGAAAAGTTGAATTGGTTTGAAGAGGACACGACATATAACGACATATGCACCCACACACCCACACACACACCCACACATACGCCCACACACACACACACACACACCCGCATATATTCCGCTATCATTCAATTACCGAAAAGGCTCATAGGAAATAGGCCTATTATGGGGGAGGAAGGACGAATGAATTAATGCTAAATGAATGGTTGAACTTTTGCTGTTCAGGGAAAAGTTAACACATTAAAAAAAAAAGGCTATTTCATTTAAGAAAATAAGAAGTAAATTAAATTGAGTTTAGACGATAATATATTATTTAAGTTTACAACAATTGTTTATAAAACAAAAAGAAAACGAAACAAAACAAAAAAAAAAGCAAATAAAAGAAAAGCGGCTGAATTTATTCAATTTTAAAATGTAATAATTTGAAAAAAAAAAAGATTAAAAATGTGAAGATAAATGTCAAATGTAATACATTAACATTTGATATTTTGCTAAAATTTCAATGCATAAATTAATACTTATGTTTGTAATATAATCTTATAATACAGATCAGTTTATTGTAACATTCTGTAATAGAATTTGCAAAATTTACCATTAATAGTCTGAGAGTATCATAAGCAGTTTCAAAAAAAAAAAAAAAAAAAGAAAAAGTTTCATTAAATAATTGAGGAAGTTTTATTAATTTTGAAAAATTCCAAGCAATGATAATCTATCATTAATTGAAGCAGTAAGCATTGCTTCATTCTTGGCTTATTGTTTTCATAATCGATAATTCAAATAGGTATTATTAATTGAGAGCATTTCAATGATGAAATTATTCATAACAATGAATGATAACACTCACTGCTCCGCTGCATATCCTGGGAAGAATGCTTGGGAATAGCAAGCTACACCCGGGAAGAATATTTGACAACAGTAGGAATAAAGTTTTCTTTTAGCATTTTGAATTAATTAATAATTAAAATTTCTCAATTGTTTTCATTAATCAACAATTAAATTTATTTCATTTGTTTCCGTTTCCCTATTTCTTGCAAAAAATTAATCTTGAGCTAAAATGGTATGGATGTAATAAACTAAAAATAAACTTTCTTAAAAAAATTAAATAAAATGAGCGAAATTAAATTAAATTAATTGTTTTTGTGAAATTTAAACATCAACTACGTATATATATATATATATATAATTTTACTGTTACTTACGTATAGTTTACAAAATTTTATGAGTGTAGATGGTGAAAAATAAACAAACTTCATTGTCATCTTGATCGGTGATAAGATTAGAGCCATTGCTACCAGCGCGAGCACGAGAGCTTGTTTTTAATTCTTGATGAGTTGAAAATTGACAAAATATTGTCCTGGATTGGAAGAAAATTTATTTTTGATCGTAAATTTTGAGAAATTTGCAAGATTCGAAAAAGTTTACAATTTATTTCCTCTGTAAATTAATTAAAATTTGGGCTTTTTCATTGATTAAAAATTTAACGTTTTATCGAATGTTTTTTTTTCAATATTTTTTGGCAAAATTTTGGCAAATTGAAATTTTTAAAAATTTAACAAAAAGATGTGTTTTTTTTTTTGAATAAGCAAGTATTCAGAAAAATGATGTGAAATATTTGGTACCTATCACGAATAGCTACTGGACATGCTATATTAACAGTAACCAAAGTTTGAGCACTTCGTTCATCCTCATATTCCACAAATGCCTGAAATAAAAAATAGATAAGATGAATTTATAACAGAATTAAATATCACTAAAAAACAGCACTTCCATAAAAATTTGCAAGTAATAATTAATTTAATTACTGATAACTGAAATTATAATTTTAAATGACAATCATTATTGCTTGTATGTGTTTAATGAAACAAATTTAAATTTCAATTATCATACCTGATTCTTTCCTTTAAGTAATAAATAATTGACTAATTTTCCATAAGGCATACAAAAATGAACCAATTCCAAATCGGTCATATCAGATGGTATATTTCGAAGGTGTACCACACGTGAAATATATTGCCTACCATTGCCATTAGCTGATGTTGTAGCAGCCATTGAATCTATTGCAATAATTTATTATGATTATTTTAATTTTTTTACTTTTTATGAATGCAAATTTATCATAGCTATTCATTATTCGATATTTATTATAACTATCAACAATTTGATGGATATATGCTTAACATTTCATGAATAATCAAAATAAATAAATTTTAAAAAAATACACATTTTTTTAATGATAAGAATGATATAAAGCAAACTGTTAGTGATAGTGAATGCTTGGCCAAAAAGAGCCGAATTTTGCAAAAATTGCGCGCCATTAGCAAATGCAACAGCGGAAAGAAGTTGCTGCTGCGTGGGCGGTAATACCATTCCTCCACCGGTTGTTGCTAACAAATTCACTGAACAATCTAATTTAGCCTGAAATATTTCTTTTCTTTTTCTTTTTTTGCAAATCATTTTATTTCTGGTGAATCAATTAGTAAATCTTTAAAATATTATCCTCAATCCATTGCCAATAATTTGATCATTACAATTTTAATTTTCTGTAGTTGAAAAAAAAAAGAAGGAAAAAAAGAAAAAATTGAAATAGTTAGAAAATAAAGTATTACCTTCTTGGCTTCATTATCCAATGTAATGCTGCGTAAATTTGATGCTAACAAATTTCCACCACTTGTAGTTCCCGACAACGTCGTAAACAAATCATTCGATACGCGCTAAAATAAAAAAAAAAAATTTTTTTTTCTGTACCAATTATCATAATATATTATTTGAGTAAAATCGATTAAATAAACTAAATTGAAAGCTTTGTCAAAACGTCAACAAAATTTAAACCGATTTCATTTGTTTGAACAGCAGCAAATTGCATCGCTTTAATCCATTTTTATTATTAGAAAAGAATTCTCGGGAGAAGAAATGGGATTTTTTCGTAAATTAACCTTAAGAAAAAAATGTCATAAAATTTTTCAAACGGCTAAAATAGAAATTTAAACGTCTAATTCGATCAATCAAAGAGCTTTTACAGCTTGTTTTTTTCTGTATTGTCTTTTTCAAAAAACAAATAATAATTAAAAAGATATCGATTTAATGAACTGATGAATTTATTATCCTTAAAATTTCAAATATTCCAAACGTTTTATTTTAAAACGTTTACCATATTTCTATTATCTCTTAGATGTCAAAAATTTTTTTGCTAATTTAAAACATTTGTTACAGACTGCTGAAATTTAAAAATGAACTTTGACAACAATTTCAATTGTATGAGATCGCTAATATCGTCTAATAAATCATTGAAATTTTGTCAACAATTAAATTAAAAGGAACAATTAGTGCAATTAATACGAGAGCAAGAGAAATGTGAGGAAAATAAATTTGAATTAAAAATATTATTCAATGAAAAACGAAATCATAAAGTTAGGAAATGGAGAAAAAATCGAAATGAAAAACATATGGAAATTAAAAATCTCCAATTTATTTATCCCGATAACCAAATATCCTGCAATATACCAATAGATTATCGATTAGTTTATTCATTCATATTATTCATGCACATGAATTAATCATCCCGCTTCCTCTTTCCACCCGAACTCATCAATATTCTACAGGTGGAGAAAAAAAAACCCCCCGAAAAAAAGAAAAGAAAAGAAAAGAAAAGAAAAAACAACTAAGTGAATTTAATTTCGCCGATAGCAATAAATGATTGTTAATGCATTCGTCGGAATTATTGTATATTTTTCAGTCGACGACTTGGTCATTATTGTTATCGTGGATAATAAACAGGTCATAAGTTAGCCATCTGCATGCTACATTCTTAGGAAAATCATATTTTTTATACATCAATTATCATATCAAAAGAAATATTTCCCAATCTTTAACAGATTAGAAATAATTTAACGACATCTCATATTCTTCCTTAAAGAGCTACGAAAACGTATAATACACATTTTAAAAAAATGTAATATATGTAAAAAGAAACATGAAAATAGTAAGTGCTTCTAATGATTAGAATGTTTTTTTTTTAAAATATATTCCCGAAAAATTTTTATTTCAAAAACAAAATGAAAATGCTAACTGAATGATACAAATTAAATGAATAGTTTCAATCAGACTTGGGCTAATAAAATGATCGAACTGTTTATGCAAATAATTATGATAATAGTTGTAGTGATAGCGTCTTTAATGATAATGATAGTGATTGTAACAGTAAGTAATGATTAATGTTTGTTATTTATAGTTAAATGTTCAGTTATGATAATGATATACCGAGGAGTATCGTGGTATTGCTGCTCATAGGTAACAATGATAATAACGAGTAATCAAATTTATAACTGTATATTGATGATTAACAATGACGTCATCCTTTCAGAATTTCATATTTGATAGGAAAAAGTATTATGAAATACAAAAATTGCTATGAATTGAAATATAGTTTTAATAATTTATGAATGTCAAAAAAATGATGTGCTTTCGGTTGAAGCGTATGACGTGAAAAATATCTTTTATTTAATGCATCTAAAAAGTTCTGGAAGCAAACAAATCCAATCTGACGAACCACTCTATCAAAATGATATTTGAATGGCATTTGAAAATCTTACAAAAAAGAAAGAAAGAAAAAATGTTTCAGATAAACTGATGAAGAGGGAGAAAGAACGAGAGAGGGAGAGAGAGAGAGAGAGAATTAAAAAAGGAAATTTCATGTCAGTAAAATAGCTGTTGGTAGGAAGAACTAAAAAGAAGGTAATGCTTAAATTGCAAATTGCAAATTGCAAAACTATGATGTAGCGAAATAATTAATACAGCTTTAGAAGAAATTCATTAAAATTCATTGAAAATCCTATCAAATAGTAGGAATTGAAAATTGAAATAATCGAGATGAATATATGAATTTATAATCATGCAAATATAAACATTCTTAACGTTTAAATTATTTTAAGAATTATACATGGCAATGCAAATTGAAAAAAGAAATTTAGTTTCAAACATAAAATTACAAGAAAAAAGAAAAAGCAAAGGAAATAAGGAAATCTTTTCATAATTATCTTTTTCATTTTAATCAGCTTCATATTCAAAAAAAAAAAAGGAAAAAAGCTTTAAAGTAAATCAATGAAAAGAGTAAGCTGACCAAATTTGATTCAAAAAAA